AAGAAGAGAACAAAACAGCAGCTGGATAAAACGAACTTTGCTGCTAAGAGAAAAATCACACGTAGGTCTCGATTGTGGGGCTGGGGAACTTGTCTGGTGCTGAGCAGCTTCTGCTGTTTGTCTTAGAAATTATTTCCCTTGCAGAAAGGCTGTGATGTGGCTGGGGATGCAGAGAAGACCCTTCTCAGGGGTAAATTTTGCCTGTCTGAACAGGCACACTGTCACCTGTTTTCTCCCCAGGCAGTGTGTGCACAGACTGATGCACTTCCAGAATAAGTGTGTGAGGGTGTTGGTACCTCACTGGGTTTCAAAACTGGCTGAAGCCGATCTGAAAGCACTGTCAGTCATAAACTGCTTTCCTGTTCAGGCCCCTCTGCTGTTGTCTTTCCCTGAAACATCACGATGCTCTGACCCGGCAGTTGCCATTCAGGAAAGATCTGAGTTGCAGCTGACAGTTCTCGTAGCGCGGGGGCAGCCAGAGCACCAGCAGCTCTGGGCATCACAAGGAAGGGTGTTAAGAAGAGGAAGAAGGGATTTGGTTGATGTCATTTTGCTGTTATATAAAGTGTTGGTGCACCCCCATCACAGCAGTTCTGGTCTCTGCACTGCAAGGACACTGTGGTACATCCGGAGAAGGGCAGCCCAAGCCATGAAGGGGATGGAGCAGCTGCTACATGAGGAGAGACTGGAAAGCCTGGGGCTGCGGTGTTGGGAGAGGAAGGTGGGATCAAAGTTCCCATCAGGAAGGCAATGCCTCAGCTGAGCACAGAGCTGTTGTTTACCAGCTCCAACAGCTGGGGTGCATCAGTGGAAATAGCAGGAGATTGGCGGGTTTAAAATGGGTGAAGGACAGTAATGCTTCACATAGCATGGAGTGAACTCCTGGAAGTTTGTGTCACAGGAGGTTGTGGAAGAGTCAGTATCAGCAGCTTTAATAAGGGATTAAATGCACTTAGGGACAATAGGTCTATAAACAGATGCTAAAGGGAACAGGCTGGGATGTTCCTGTTCGTTTTCTGAATGCTGGGGATGTACAGGCAGAAGGGATCACCTGTACCAGGAGCATGGTAGTTTGCCTGTGTTCCTGGTGCAGCCCCACTTATTACAGCAGCCAGACCCCTGCAGATCCCCACTTGTGTTCCTGCACTCTGCCAGGCAACAGTCCATCTAGCATGTCCAATTCAGGCCGTTTTAAAATGGGAGAGATGTCTCCTGCAAAACCCAAAGCAATCACTGAACAAAATGGAGCACGCCAGTGCTCCACAAGCAGCAGCAGTTGTGCTTGTCAGTCCTCACAGGGCTTGTGTGAATGAAATTGTTTTTAATAGAGGCCTAAGGCCATAGCAAGGAACAGCCCAGCTCTTTGTGGGAGCTGAAGCCCAGTGTGTGTGTCTGTGTTGTTGAACAAGTAACAGCAAAGTCAGACATGAGGGAAGAGTTCTTATTCTTCTTTTTTCTCCCAAAATAAACAGAGCACCAAATAAAAGCTGAAACCCCCCTTGGAGATGCCAATAAAATGTGACCAGCCATATGGCACTCAGAGCAGGGAGCTGCTGAAGTTGGATGTCCTCGTTGAGTGCACAGGGCTCTGGGAGCTGGTGCTGTGCAGAGGTGTTCAGTGTGCTCCAGAAAATCCATGGGAGACAGGGCTGGCTCTGCAGCCATTGCGTAACAGGGGAGTTTTGCTGTGTTTCTAGATGCTGAAGTTCTAGTTAATAGTTTTTCTTTTCCTGGGGCAAAAGCTGCCTGGTTTTTGTTGCTTACTGTGCATGTCTGCTTCCTCCAAGCACAAGTTCGGGGGTGCCAGGTCGGTGTTTAAGCACGTGTGGTGCTGGGGCTGTTCTCATTTATGGGAAGCTATAATTAGACTTTTGGTGTTTGCTTTTAGGCAAATTAAGATTTGAAGTAGTAATTATTTTTCCCAGTGTCTTTAAATAAATTCTTTGAATCGCGAGGCGAATTGGTCTTTTGTAAAGATTCACTGCTGCTGGGGAGAGCAAGTTCTTTCTCCTCAAAACTGGAAAATTTCGGATATTGGCAGGCTCTGCTTATAAACTGTATCCTCCCATTTTTGCTTTGTTGTGGTTTTATTCATTTTAACCTAAAGCCATAACTAAAATATATCTGTGACGTTTCATCCTGACAGGATAAATGGAAATACAAAACCTAAAGAAGTCTCTCTCTCTCTGTTTTTCTGGAGGAAGTCGCTGCTTTAAAGCACATTTGAATGTTTTTACTGTAATTGCACTTTGGATATGTGGACGTACTGAGATCCCGCATTTCTGTTATTTTTTTGAGTAAATCTCTTATTAGTAACTGTTAGAACTACAACTAGTGAGGTTTTGCATCTAATTCACTTTGCAAATGTCAAAATGAAACATAAATCGCTTCGCAAATTGCCGTATTAGCATTTAAAAAGGCTCTGAAATGGTTTAATTTGTTTAGGGCTGCAGTATCTTAAAAACAGTTTCTCTCTGACCCCTCCTTCCCATCTGTGGGTTTCTTGGATGCCCTGGTCCCCAGAGAGGCTCTGGGATTTCCCGCTGCGTGGGGATGGACGTGTGAGGAGTTGGTTTTGGAGTGTGAGACGCAGAATTCCCAGCTGGAGGTGCCGACGCTTCCCTGCCCGGCAGAGGGAATGGGCTGCCTCGAGGCAGTGTGTGATGAGTGTGTCGGTCCAGACAGAGAAGGGTTGTTCCTCCCGGGGGCTGTGGGAGCCCTTTCCCCACTGGCATACTCCGAGCTCCCTCCCTGGGTCTGTTTGCACACACTAACACAGCACTCTGGATTTCTAATCATCATAAATTATGACCAGTGCAATCAACATCAAGTTTAATAAAACACACGGTGCTGAGAAGTGATCCATCCTGGAGCACAAAATGCCATCAGCTCTGGACAGCTCAGCTTAAAGCAGGTCATGTCTCCTGGAAGGCATGAGCAGAGCTGCTCTTTGCTCTCCCCACCGTAATGCCAGGTGGATTTAAACTCGAGATTTCCCCCTCTCCAGAGCACCTACTCAACTGGAACGTGCACTAAGTGCATCTTGTTTGTCACTGGTTTCTTTGCCAGAGGCAGCATTTGTCTGGCACATTCCCTGTCCCCAGAGGGGAAATCGCTGTGCCAGGGAGGGAGAAGAAAACAAAATGTACAGCAGTAACTCGCCAAAAAATGTTTCTTTTTATTAAGCCTCATGGATGTTGATAGCCCGAACTGGCGAGCACTCAGGCCCCGTTGAAGCACGTGGAGAGTCGTGTGTTGCAGGGCACTAATCACATGCACTGGTTTGCATTGCACATGTCAGAGTTTCCAGGATTTGGCCTGATTGCTATGATGGTTTGGGCAGGCAAACAAACCGGCACATGTTTCCCAAAGGCTTGGAAGGTGTGTGGTATTGTGGAAACAGAGACTGGATGTGCTGTGGTGTGTTGACACGGTGGTGTTCCGTCAAAGGGTTGAACTCAGTGATCTCAGAGGTCTTTCCCAACCTAATTGATTCTGTGATTCTAGGAAACAGTGTGTGTTGCTGCTGTTCCTGGGGATAGGATCACTCTCCATACACTGGACTGCTGTGTGCTTTCCATTAAAGGATGCTTTTTTTTTTTTTTTTTTGCCATGGTCCCTCCTGGCTGTAGCATCACAGAGTGACTTTGTCCAAGGACAAAAGATCCCCAGGAGCCCTGAGAGTGCTGCAGTCTGCCTTCTCTTCAACCTCTTTCTTTATTTTAAAAGAAATTATCCCCCCACCCAAAACAACAACCTGAAGCTAAGTGCTGATTTAATAGGACATATAAAGGAATCTACGGCTGATAGTCAGAACAGTCCAAAAACGCTTCAGATCCTGCTTGGGTGGGGGAGCACGAGGCTGCCATCAGGCAGGAGCTGGGGGAAGGGCAGAGTGAAGCCTGCTGCTCTGTGGATGCTCCTCATTGCAGCCGTGCTGTCGTGCACAGGCTGTGCCACGGCCAGAGCAGTCCCCAGCTGCTCCCAGGGCGGCTGCGCTGCCGTGTTTGGGTGGCAGCTGGTGGGAAGAGGATGGGCTAGGAAATTGGGAGCGTGCAACTTCTGAATGCAGGGAAATGTCTGTCTCCAGACCTGGCTGCAGTGGAGGCATGATTTGTGCTTGGGTGGCCTTCCTGTTCTAGTCGCGTGTCTTAGAGATGCTGTAGCCCTTCGGAGAGCACAAGCCTTTGGTTCATGCATGAGATGGCACGTGCAGGGCTCTGCCTGGAGGAGGGAGCGGGTTCTGAAGGAAATCTGTCAATTTGTTTCCAGTGAGAAGATGTGTTTTTCAGCTCCTGAGAGTGCTGTCGAGTTGTTTTTCAAGCCGCACTCCATTCTGCAGGCATTGTATATTTTAAGCATAGCAAAAGTGTTGGATTGAATATGAGTAAATAAGTGTTTTCCAGAGTAACTAACTGCTTTGTTTCTAAGTAGCCAGTCAAGGCTTTTGGTTTGCTCTGAGCGAGGAATATTTCAGAAATAAAATTTTCTGCTGAAATAGCAGTTACAACTGTAGGGAACCTGTTTCCCATGCATGACTGACTTAGTGATGCAGTGGAGTGGTGATGTGAGCAGAAGGGGGATGTATGCATGTGAAAGATCCTCTATAATACCACTGAGCAAGTAACATTATCCTCCACAGAGCTTTCCACCTGCGGCTCGGGGTGAACAACGTGTAGCTCTTTTTCTCTCGGGTACGTCTCCTGTGGCATCACAGGTATCTGCGTGTCAGAAGGCAGCGAGCTGTGCTGTTTGGTTAGTAAAAAAGTGCATTAAAGAAGATGTGTTCTTTATCCTGCGTTGCTGCGGAGCCTACCTGATATAAAAATGAGCACACTGTGGAAATCTGTCCTTTCCCTCTCTCCTCGAACATGCATTCTGCAGCGGCAGAGCATGTTGTTTGATGGCAAATAAAATGTCACGTAGCAGTTAATATACTCAGGGAATGGGAGCTTAGATTGCTGTAGAAACCTGAACTGAAGTTCCTGACCTGGATTACCTTTTTAATTTAGTGTTGCCTGCTCCAGTTTTGGTGACCCCTTTGCAGGAGAGCTGGGGGTTAGATGTTTTGCTCTGCATTCCTCCTCGAGAGGTGGGACCCTTGCACATTTCTCCCAACATGTTGCACATATACTGGGTGCTTACATGTACCTGCAGCTGTGACTTGATGTTATCCTATTTCTTCTGCTGTAGAGATGACTGAAGAGGAACAATTTGCACTGGCCCTGAAAATGAGTGAGCAAGAAGCCAGACAAGTGAACTGTCAGGAAGAGGAAGAGGAGGAGCTCTTGAGGAAGGCCATTGCTGAGAGCCTTAACGTAAGTGTGCTTCTGTGAAGAGGCTTACTAGGGTTCTCCAGCAGTGCTGCTTTCTGTGCTTGCTTTGCCTCACTGCTTAAAAGAAGGTTTTATTGAGGGCCTAGATATTTCCAGTACAGACTGGAACTACAGCAGTCACAGAGTAGTTGCTTTGTACCATTTCCCAGGAGAGTGATGTATGGAATCTATCCTCAGCTGTACTCTGTTTCAGGGTACATCGTTCTGATTGGGGTGGGGGGATCTGCAGTCCAGGTGATGGCTGCCAGTGTGCTGTGGGATCCCTTGGGGTGCTCTGCGGATAGAGAACAAGCCTCTAGGAGAGCCAACCTTTTGTTTTTCAGAGCTGTCAGCCCTCAGACTCCTCTGATGCAACTCCTCAGTTGTCACTGGAAGTGCTCGGCAAGGGAGGCCAGAGCCAGCCTGCTGAGGAAGAAGGCTCTGAGATCCTGGGAGGTCTGGCACTTTGCCCTGACACCCCTGGCTCTGAGTGCAGCTCCCACTCAGAGAGCTCCAGAGCTGATGGGAACGGACAGATGGATGTCGCCCGGAGGCCCCTGGTAGTGTTGAGGAGGTTAAGCCAGGAAATCGTTGAAAGCTCTCTAGTATCCGGCATAATCGTGTCTCCGGGGAAGGGCCAGCCTGTGACAAGGTCAAGTGAAAAGCCTTCCTCACCCGGAAAAAGTGATTCCAGTAACGTGTTACGCAGCACCCTGGGAGAGGACCTCACGTCTTTGAGTCCCACCTTTGGCAGGGTGGCTTCAGGCTCCTGGCGACTGACACCTCGCAGACTGTTCATGAGCTCCTCCAGCTCTTCTGAAGCAACGGGCCACGAACCAAAAGAGCAGCTTCTGCCCTGCACTGGCCATTCCGTGGGAGAAGCTAGCACTGGGAGCTCAGCCATGCTCTGGAAGAGCAGGATCACAGAATGGTGTGACAGCCCCAGGAGGAGTGGTGGAGGAGCAGGTACCAAACACACCTCACAGCCCAGGCACACTGCCAAAGTCTCTGTTTCCACAGAGCAAGCAGAGCAGAACGAGGTGTCTGACAGTACCCCAGATCTTTTCACACTGACTGCAGAGGAGAAGTACAAGCAGGAGGAGGCAAGAGACACAGTGCACTATTACTGGGGCATCCCCTTCTGCCCCAAAGGGGTGGACCCCAACCAGTACACCAAAGTCATCTTGTGTCAGCTGGAGGTTTACCAGAAGAGCCTGAAGCAGGCTCAGAGGCAGCTATTGCATAAGAAGGAGTTTGGTAACCCGGTTGTCCCCAGTTCTTCCTTGAGCCAAAACGAGTTTGGGAAAGGAGAGGAGGTAAGCAGGGAGAACGGAGTTGCTGATGGTACAGAAGATGGAGACACAGAGGGGCAGGAGTCTGAAAGCATCACCTGGTTCCATCCTTCAAAGAGGAGGGAGGCAGAGAGTCCAGGGCACAGCATGGAAGAAGAGAAGAACTCCACTTCTGATGATGAACCGACCACCAGCTACTGCCAGGTAAGAGCTTTGGCACTGAGCAGAGATTGAGCAATGCTGCTCTCCTGTCTATTTTATGGTTCAGTCCCTTCTGCAAAGCAGGCACTGCTGTTTAATGCCCCTCTTAAATTTAGGGACCTCCTCCTGTAGCCACACAGCTTACTGCAGAAGGGAGAAGAGAAGTGTACTGGCTGACCCCCAGCTGACACACACTAGGGGCCGTGGTGCAGCCTGGCAGTCATTATTCATGCCCCACTGACACACACATCCTGCTGACTTGCCCTTCTCAGAAAGGTGCAGCCTGGCAGTGTGTCAGGGCAGCGAGCACAGAGGTGATGCTGACCACCACCAGCTCTGGCAAACCAGTTTATAAACCCTTAGCCATGTGGGGAGCTCTGCATTCCCCTTACCAGAGACAAATGGTGGCCTGTCCTTGTGGCAGAGCCTTCATGCTTCGCCCTTGCAAGTGCTCTTTCTCCTCATTGCTTGTCTGGCTGTGGCTGGGAGAGGCTCTGCCTGCTCACAGGCATCTTCTGCCTGCCTGGGTGACCTGTCACCGCGGCAGTGCTCACCGTCCTTGTCCTGGTGTTGAGCACCTTCTCTCTGGCTCACTGCTCGGGTCTGCTAGACACTAGGTGTCAGCCTCTGTCTCCGTCAGGGCTCTCCTGCTGGAGCGGAAGGCAGCTTTCTGTCACTGCTAAGTTTAAACAGATTGCTAGTCAGATGAAGTATTTATTACTGCTGTATTTTAGGTTTGTGTCAGCCTTTTCCAACCCTCATTTTTCATAATGACTTCACTCCCGGATCATTGTATAACTTTATCTTCTCTATGACTGAAGCCTTGGCTCTGTTGTTCCTGTTTTCAAGTGTATTTGATCATTTACCCTGGTGTTAGAAAGATACTTAACTTGTTTTGTGATATTTATATTCTGTCTTGTAATATTGAACACTTAGGAAAAACGTCATGTCTGCATTTTCTGGTTGCAGAAAAAGAGCAGAGCAGCCTGTGCTGAAATGTGACTTTTCATGACAGTGCTTTGGCTCGTGTTTAGCAGATGGAGATTTAAACAAGCCTTAGAGGTGCCCTGCAGAGGGAAGGAACTGACTTGTGCCCTTTTTCATTTCTTTAGGAGAGATACAAAAGACCTGAGAGGTTCTTAAAGCAAACTGCCTTTTTTTTAATTCTGTATCTTTTCCTTTGGAAATGGAGGTGTCATTAATCTGGAAGATTGGGGTGACTGCAGGTCTATGGATGTGTATGCTAAAGCCCTTGGAAAGCTACAGCAGCAGCAGGGAAGGGCTTGAACTTTTAATCAGTATTGAAAATTGTGGGCTATTTTGTAAAATATTATCTGTTTAATGCTAATACCTCATTAATTCTTGGGGAGAAAAGAGGTTTTAGTGGTGCTGAGTGGTAACTTGTAACGTACTCATCTTGACCATTGGAGCTCTCTCAGAGCCATAACCTGTATGTAGATGTAGCCTTCCTGATGTTTTTAAGGTGAAAAAAATAAGGAAGGGGGAGGGGTAAGCAGCCTTTAAAATTTCAACCCTAGCCCAAAAATTGCTAGTTCTTTTTTTTACTGAGAAAAAATAATTTCTAAGTGCCCTTTCATCTGCCTTATCACACCCAGCATGAGAGGTTGCTCCGTTCTCTCGCCTCTCTGTGCAGTCGCACACTGAGGCCAGAGCAGGTGATTTACTTGGAAAATCAATATGTTTGATGTTTGCTTGTGCCTTGTCTCCATTTTTTTCCTTCTATCAAATACAATTCCACTAGCAGTGACAAAGGAGTGGCCCAAGAGCAGTCGTGTCTCCGACGTGCTGCTTTGCTTGGAGACCCTTTGCTGCCAGTGCTGCCCTGATGCTCCCCCAGTGCCACCAATGCGGCTTTGCTGATGGGAGATTTTAGGCTGTGCTGAGGTTAGAAACCATCCTTGAGGAGTCAAAGCTGTCCTTGAAAAAGCCTTGTGCTATGTGTTATACCAGTGAAATAAAGGTGCAGGTGCTGTGCCTGGGGGAGGCGTCCTGTACCCCTGCCCTGAAACCCTCACCTGGAGCAGGCAGAACTTCCACCCTGGCAGCGACCAACTGCTGCCACTGCTTCCTGCAGCCAAGGGATGTTTGCAGAGAGCAAATCCTGGTTGTCAGGAGATCTCACAGCCTGTGAACCTGCACTAACAAACTTCAGTGCTAATAGAATCAATTCCTTCAGAGCCTTTCAAATAAGGTTAGAGGAGTCTTGGTCTTTAAAAGATTCAAAGGGAAAAGACTCAATTCTGGAGATTTAGAGTCTGGTGACCTGAATTAGTGCCATATTTTATAACAGATGTACTAAGAAAATCAGAAACATGGCCCAGTGTTCATGACCAGGGCAGAGGCATTGTCAACATATGCACAGTTCAGGATGAAGAGAAATAAAAATAAAGGAGGAGGTGTGGCATTTTATGTTAATGATGAGACTGCAGAGTAGCATAGAGCAATGTAGATAAAACAGAATATTTGGGTGTTGGAGTCACATTAGGGAAGTCTGACAGGAGGCCTTGATTTGGGGCTTGCTGGGGAAGTACATCAGCTATCCAGGAGTTGAAACCTATGGTGGAAATTGAACTCAGAGAAGAGTCTGATAGACTCAGGGAAGGGGGAGGAAAACCCTTTGGATTTCTTTGAGAACTAGCATGAGAAATTATGGGCCTGACAGAAAGAACTGCTAATAAACTGTTGTAATTCCACCTGATTAGAGGATGGCAAGTGTAACATGTACACTGCAGAAGAAGAAAGGGATCTGGGTAATGACTGGCATGTTAGCCTGACCTCAGCAGTGCGTAAGGCTTTTGAACAAATTTTAAAGGAAAGAATAAGTGGAGTCATAGAGCTAAATGAAAAATGGGATAAAATGCACACAGATTTACCAGCTGTAGACTGTGCAGGTTAATCTGTGCTCTCTTTGATGGGACAGCTGATTTCCTAGGCAAGAAAAATGCAATAGATTTTATCTATAGAAAATTTAGAAAAGTGCTTCTCATGGTCAAACATCAGCTGTACCAGTTGATCAGGTCATCCTGGCTCAGGAAAATAGGTTTTAAAGTGGAGTAGGAGAGGCATGCTGGGGTGCCCAGGGAAGTGCGGGGGACACTAAAAACCTTGGGTTGTTTACCTCAGCATGGTGGGAGATGGAGAGGAGCTATGGTTGCTGCCTACAAGTACATTTGGGTGAATGCTTGGAACAGGCAGAGAGTATGGAAGGTGATGGACAAGGCTGGAATGAGTGGATGGGCATGGACTGTCCAGGAACATGTCTAGGCAGCAAGGTAACACAAAGTACTGCCAGACTTTATTGCAGGGAGCTGCTGAAACTCCTGACCAAGAGGAAGAATGGAGGGGGAAAGCTGACTAGTTCAGGATGGATACTGAGCGTTTTTCAGGTAAAAATACGTAGCAGACTGGATGCAATGCCATGGACAGAATCCAGTGTCCCAGCAGACCCCAGTCAGCTGTGCACATTGTGTTATGTGCAGGAACTGCAGTGACAGGACATGAAGTAATGGGGGTAAATTGAAAGAGGGAAATTTAGATTAGATATTGGGAAGTTTTTTTCCTGTGGGGGTGGTGAGACACTGGCACAGGTTGCCCAGGGAGATAGTGAATGCCCCAACCCTGGCAGTGTTCAAAGTGAGGTTGGATGAAGCCTTGAGCAACCTGCTCTGGTGGGGGTTGGGGCTAGGTCCATTCCAACCCTTTCACATTTTATGATTCTGTGATAACATCAGAATTTTCCCTTTCAGGCCTCCCAGGCTCTGCCTGCAGGGGATATGCGTGGAGATGGGGACCCCATGCAAATTGCACAGAGGTGAGTTAGGGTGATCTCAGTGTGAGCTCATGGGCTCACTCTGGTGAGCTGAGCTCTTCCACTCTCCCTGGAGTATCTTGCGGTGCAGTCCCACCACAGCTTGCTGCAGGGTGTGCTGGAAAGGCTGTCTGCAAGCACTGCTCTTAGGTATCACTGGAAATACTTGGCTTTGGAGCAGTGTGGGAGAGAGGTTGGGCACAAGTGGGGAGAAGGGATCAGTTGCTCTTGTTGCTTGGTAAGATATGCAAGGTGCATCCTAGCACGAGTTGCTCCTTGCCCTCTGAAGCTCCTGTGACAGTGCAGTACAGCACAGGGTAGGTGAGCTGAAGGTGAGCTATGTCAATGCCATCACGTGTCTGTCTGGGAAGGCACACAGGCAGCATCGTGGAAGGTTTACTGGATTTCTGTGTGTATTTTTATGTGCCTGCCTTGCTGCTGAAGAGGAAAGATGGGAGGAGGAAGCCAGACGGCACTGCCTATCAGCCAAAGATAGAGTGCAGTGCTCCAGAAAAGCCACTTCAGCAGATGACAGGTGTGGGACAAGTCAACATGATTTTCTTCAGATTTAAGCCTACTCCTCTTTTCCTTTTTTCCTTCTTCTTCCTGTGGGATGTAGTTCTAAGGCTGTGGAGAAGAAGGACAAATAGGAGAGGATTCAGGGAGCAAGTTACAAGAGAGGCCAGATAATGTCATGTTTTTAATTTGCTGGGTTTTATAATTTAAACCTGCTTTGGAGCAAAACTGCCAACTTCCCTCTGATCTAACAGCGTTTGGCCTGAGCAGTTAATATCAATATGCAGAGTATGAAAATCCCTCTTGCTTGCACCTTTCTAACAAGCTTAAAACCTGCCTTGGGGAGCAGGAGGAACCTGCAGCTGCCGCTGCTGCCAAGGCTGATGAGCCTGTGACAGCTGAGGTCTGAGCCTGCGTGGAAGGCACCGAGGTGTGCACTCTGCAGCACTGGCCTTCTGCCTACTCAGGGCAGGAGAGGCTGGATGTGAAGAGAGAGGGAACTCTTCCCTTTGGTGTAGCTGGTGGGGTTAGTCTGGGATATTCCCCAAGCTGCCCAGGAGCTCCTGCCTGCCTCAGGGTGGGATGCACCTGGGTGCAGCGGCCCCTTCTCGAGCAGCTGGCACATCTGCAGCAAGGCAAGAAATGGCTGCAGTCTTTGCAGTTTTGTGCACATTAAGTGTTGCCATCTGGCTCCTGGTGATTTGCCAGCACAGCCCTCTCCTGGGCTGGCCTCGGCAGCACTCTGTAGGAAAACAGGGCTCTGAGCTGTCTGGAGACACTGGAGCAGTTTAGGAAGTGGCAGCCCAGGCAAGAGCCTACTTTGCTTTCTGTGGGCTACTCTCTCTCCCTGCTTGTTTTACGCTTTGTATGGAGCATGGAAGATTGGGGTTTTAATAAATGATTATAGGCTTTGTTACCAGGAGATAGTTGGTGTAGCAAGAAATGTGGTTTGACTTCAAATTGATTAGCCCATTTTATAAATGTCATAGCAAGTTGTTTTGTGTGAGTTCCTTTGAAGTGAGCCCTGATGTTAGGCTCAGAGTAAAACACGCTCAGCCTGGATTCATAACAAATGCTTTGAGATGCTTTATTTAGAGAGAAAAGCCACTTGTGATTTCCTATCAGAATTTTGTTATTTATCATAAATCAGCAGTGGCTGTTCTCTCCTCTCTAAGGCCTGTGGTTGAGCTTAATAAATCTTCTGTTTGTCAGGGTGGGGATTCGTGTTTTTAAAGTGTGTTCTTGCATACTTGATCAGACTACTCAGAAAGCCACGCGAGGCACAGAGCGTGTCAGCATGGGTGCCAGACTTACTCAGCAATGCCTGTGTTGGAAAAGGCACTGTGGAGTGAGGGGGGAGGAAAAAAAAAACCCAGGAGGAATCCGAAGGTCAAAATGAGAGGAGCAGAACCTGGTGTTGCACTGAGGAACCACCACACTAATGCTGCAGGGAAGTCTTGCCTTGTGTCACATCCACACTGCTTCTGGCTGCTGTGCACAGGGATGAGGGAGGAAATGAGCAGTGTGAGGAGGGAGAGAGGATAATGTGAGATAAAACAGGTCTGTGCCTTTCCTCTGTGTCTTTCCTTCCCCAGACAGAATGAGATACAGTGCTGGTACCTGTACAACTCCTGAATCTTGTCCCACACTTGTGAGCAGGTATTTTTGCTCCCCTGACAAGAGATAATGACCCTTCCTGCCTTTTTGTCAAGGGCTTCTCGAAGAAAAAAGATGTTCCCTTTGGAGTTTTTGCTTAGGATGGCATTTTAGACCCATATTTTGCTGTTATCCTGGTCATTTCTGGCTGTCAGATATTGACCACCTGGAAATTATGGCATGACCTGCTGTTCTGAACTGCCTGGACAGGCAGGTGTGGTGCTCACACCTCCTGGATTGGAGGTTCATGTTATATTTGTATTTTGAACAGCATCTCTGCAATGACCCCACTTGGCAGTAAAAGGAGCCCAGATATTGCCACAGAAGACTCTGCTGAAGAAGAGATCTCTGTTTGTCCAGGTAAGAGGCACTTGAGAATGCTATGAATTTTGTACTGAAAGCTACACACGTCTGAACTTCAGGGAAAAGAAGAGAATTTCAAGGTATTTGAACAGAATGAGATTTCTTTCCCATCTCCCTTTGTCAGGGCTAAAATTATCCTGGTAATTTAGTTTGTTCCCCTAGTTTTGGACCCATTTCCTTTAAGACAGTTCTATGACAGGGGTTACTGGGGACTTGCTGCTGAAGAGACACCAGAATGTATGTTGGCGTGGAGGGGTCACTCAGAACAAGGTGTCAGGAGTGATCTCTGCAATACAATCAAGAAATGTTCAGATCTTTCAGCATCAGGATAATGTTCAAAGCATGAGAGCAGAAATAATTTTTGTCTTACATTAATTAAATGTGTTTGGGACCGACAAGTTTTTCTTCCTTGGTCTCTCCTACCATGTTTGAAATTTTCTGGTTTGAGACTTTTAAAGTAAGCAAAGTAATGAAGAGACCACTCCTGTTCAGGAGCAGCTGTGCGGGTGTAAAGGTCATGATGGTGCTTGGAGGAACATTTTGTTGCTAAGGAAGATGTGGAGGTCTAAAGACAGTGTGAGGCAGGCCACAGAATGGGAGCTCTGCTTGTTTCAATGTGAGAGCAGCTCTATTCTTGCTTTGTCTCCATCCCAGCAAGTGTCCCACTCACTTTCTCTGTGTCTAATCTCACTCCCCATGAAGCCGCAAAGCTGCGGTGGCTTTGTCCTCACGCCACCATGCTGTGACTTTAACCCCTTATCTGGCTGTGTTGTTGCACATTGTCTGATAACATTTGTGGCAAGTCTAAAAAATGTTTTGAAGCTGTGAAAACTCTGTTAAGTGTTGAGGGCTAAGCTACATCAACAAGTGAGGAGGTAGTTTGGGGGCTGCAAACTGGTGCTGACATGGAGGTGTTTTTCTGCAGAGACACAGCCAAGCCCCCTGGAAGCTAGTGAGGAGGAGAGAGAAGAGATCTGCTCAGACAGCAGAGATGCACCTATGCAGGTAAAAGAGCTTGAAGTTGGGGAAGGGTCTTGTTTCCAGTCCTGTTTTCTAGACCAGCTGAGCTGTGCTGGCATTTCCCCTTGGGTAGCTGAGAGCTTGGACTTGCGCTGTTTGGATCCTCACAAACAGTTCCCTCCTCGCTTTTCTTCACTGCTTCCTATCTCCAGTCCCTTTTGGCTGGGGACTGCGTGCAGCTGCTTCTGAAGCCTTTCAGTCCTACAGCTGGAGAGCTGTTATCCATTCCAGCTTGTTCTTTTATCCCCACACAGTGCTGTGCTGGAGGATGCCATCAGCGTGGGCAGCACTGCTGTTGCTTGCCCATGCTCAGGGATACAGTGCTGTGATGCTCAGCAACGCAGAGGGACCCCTGGAGCTGTGAGGGAAGTTGTGTTGTGCCATGCTTACGTTGTGACATGCTGTTAAAGTTGTTTGAACTCCAGTGTTTGCTCTCTGCAACCATCTCCAAGAAGCTAAGAGGAGAGCTTCACCCAGAGACCGGACTGGGCTTAAAGGTGTCCTTGAAATGTTGAGGGCTGGTAGTGGTTTGCAGGCCAAGAAGAGTGTCCTGAGCCTGGGAATCTTGATTTGGGTGCAGGAATAGTCAATATCAACAGCAAGCCAGAGGCAGGGCCATCCTCTTACCTCTCCCTGCAGCTGTGCGCTGTGTGCGGCTCCTTCCCCGTGTTGTCACACCTGCACAGCAATTGCTTTGCAGCTGTCGCTGTGCCGACACCTGATTTCAGTTCCTGCTTCTGATAAAACTCCCTTTGTCTATTAATTTAGAGAGTGATATCAAAGGGGTTGCCAAGTACTCCTCTGGCAGGGTACACGAATACAGCATCGTACGGCTCTTGACAAGAGGATTCATTTGTGGAAAGCTCATTCTGGGAGTTTGCAGCTTGTACAGCACGTCTGCAGCTCTGATGTCTCATTGTCACAGGCCTCTTAATAAACCATCTTCTGCTCTCATGTGCCTTTCATTCTGCAGGTATCTCCAAGCACTGTTCAGGCAATTAGGGACTGCAGCAAGGAGAGGGGTTGGCCTGGGCTAACCTGGGTACCCACAGTCACTGAAGCACACTCATGACCCATTTGGCTGTGGCCAGGACACTGCCCTGTTGGCCATGCTTTGCCTTGGGTCTCACACTTCTGCCTGGATGGCACAAGGTGATCAGCACAGGGATGGGGAGCAGGTTCCTAGGGATTGACACCATTATGGTTAGCAGCAGATGCTGGTCCAGAGCCCACAGCCCTCCAGGAAGGCAGCAGGAACAGCTACCAAGTGCATGAGCAGTTTGCATGAGCTGAGTGTAGACCATTGGGACTGACTTCTTCCTAGCAGATGCTGAGCCAGGACACAGGAGTCTTGTTGTTGTGCTCAGCCTCTAGCATTGCTCTTGGCTGGCTATTGGCCGCAAGTACTATGTCTTGTAGGCAATTTCCTTTGCTAAAGAGCATAGGCAACTGTCTCTGCCTCTGACAGGGGTGATTGGTTCTGCAGTTGAGGTTTTCCAGACTGTTAGAGCGAGGTTTTGTACAGGCAGTTTTGGAAATGTGGTGGCTTTTGTTACAGAATGTTGCATTTCCATTTAAAATTAGTAATTTACCAGTGAATGTGGGCGGGCAGGGTGTGCAGAATCCCTGATCTCCTCAGATTGCTTTCAAAAAAGGCAGCTAGAAGGAGCAGTGCCTGCTGCTTTTCCCATCATATTTTTTATATGTGTTGTCTGACTGGGATAGTGCAGGTTTGATCTGATCATTCATATCTGACACATCTTGTTTTTTTATGGCTCTTCAGTGTGACGCCCCATGGTGAGGACTTCACACGGTGTAGTGACACTGAGATGTGAGAGAGGGGTACGAGTGCTAATGCTGTAAGTGATGTACTTCAGCAGCTTGTGTTGGGCTGGAGGAACTCTTCTGGCAACTCCTCTGCAGAAATCCAGGGCACAGAGCCTCCCTGGGAATGAGAGAGATGTTCCTGGGGCTCAGTGCTGTGCTGATGTCTGGGAGAAATGCATTTTGTGAGTCAGAATATCAGTGTAAGGCCCAGTCCTGCAATCTTTGACATCGCTCCTCAGAGTCAACAAAGCACCTTCCTTCCCTTTAGGACATAAAACTCAAGATCAGATCCTCATTTGGGAAAGGAAGTAATAAACTGAGTAATACGACAAAGAGCTCCAGTGGCACTGAGCGTCTTGGCTGACCCCAATTACTGCTTCCCTGAAATGATACTGTTGGAGGGAAGCAGACAGCAGTTTGGCTGCACACTGTCTGCACGTCACTGCTTAGCTCTAAGAACAGAAAACTCTTCTATATTATTTTTCTACAGGTTTCTTCTCCACGGTTAATATTTAAATAGCGTTTTGTAATCATTGCAGGGAGGGAGAGGTTCTTTCTTAATGTGGAAAAATCTCGCAGCAAGCCTGACTAGGCAGAGATGTAGTTATGAGAGAGATGGCTGCAGTCTGCTGCATTTGGGAATGTCAGTAGCATAGGGATCAGGCTGGATCTCCATGGGTGGGTGGTGGAATACCTTTGCATCTGTGTGACCAAGTGTCAGTAAGTGGTAATGGCACCCTGAGAACACACATGAGCTGTGACATTTCACCCTGGTGAAAAGCCTCTGCTAGTAATTTTGTGTGACACAGATTTTTAATAGTGTTGCCTCTCTCCTTGATCGGTGTCCCCTCTGATGATTACTCCAGCCACCTCCTCCGCAGAGGAGGGGCTTCCACTGATCTCTGGACTCCCTAAGACCACAGCAGCCTTTTATCCTGGGGGAAGCTGTGCTCCCAGACAGTGCTGCCTGTGTAGCATGGATCATGACCAGAAACTGATGAGCACAAGTCAGGTGTTGAACTCTTGCTTTGCCCCATGAATTTTCCATCAGTTTCGCTTCTGAGCTTTCCTGATTAATGGAAGCTTTGCCATTTTTCCACGGTAGCACAGGTAATGTTTGCCTTAAACGGTGTGCACTGCTGTGCAGGGAGGTTTCACCATGATTCAGAAGGACACGTTGCCTTTGCAAGAAGAATTAGTTATTAGTGCTGCACAGTTTACTCAGCCAGTGGTGTTATTTCTGACCACTACATGATGAAGAAAGAATAAAACTTTCCAGGAAAAGCTGAGTCTGTGGGAGGGTGAGTAGCTACCAGACAGCATGGTGCTCTGCACCTAGCAAAAAAAGGGGGACAGCACTAACTGCCTGGCTAATTAATCTTCTTCTTCCTCAGGTTGGTGGAGATGAAGATGTTGGCAGGACCATGTCTGAGAGCAGTCCTGCAGCTGCTGCCTGTGTGTCCTGCCCACTGTGTGATCACGGCTTTCCAGCCGCGGAGATTGAGGTCCACGCTATGTACTGCAACGGCGTCGTGGGAGCAGAGCCTGGTCAGGACACTCCAGGTCTGCCAAGTGCTACTTCTGCATGTTTGCTCTCTGTGCTTATCCCCTTTCCCTGTTATTTGGCAGACTGGTGCTGCAGTCCTGTCCCTCTTGGGATATATGTAAGGGAGGTTTGTTCTCTCTGCCGTATTCCATCTCCAGTCTGTCCAGGAGAGTGTTACCAGAGGCTCTGGTGTTTCCAGCACCTCCTGCACAGAGACATCATCTCTGATTGCCTTCACACAATAATGCACCACGTTATCAGGTCCTCAATATTACCTCAGGATCTATCCCTGGCTGCTTCAATCAGTACTCCTAAGACTTGTCTACTGTGTGTTTTGTTGAGGACCTGCAGAGAATCTGGCAGTGGTAGAAAGTGGCAGGTTTGAGCCACACAGGCGAGTGTCCTTCAGGGCTCTTGAGAAAGGAGAATGTTCTGTACCACTCCAAACATGGCCTGTACTCTGCATGGAGTCTGACATTTGTGTGTGCAAAAATGGCTTGTTCAGGTGGCAGAGAGTGCAGAGAAGTTTCCCTCTTGTTCTCCTAAAATGCCAAAATGATAACTATCGATCTGGGAGTGCAAATTTTTCTCCTTCGTATGAAGAGTGAGGCATAGAAGCATGGTCAGAATGCCTGTATTAATCCTCTTTCCAGTCTTTTTCATACCATTTTCCATAGCCAGCCTTTGTAGAGCTTAAGTGAACAAATAAACTGGTTGGTTATCAACATATTCAGTAAGTTATGTTTTAGCTGCTGCTTGAAATGTAAAATCTGTGTTAGCACAATGTCAGGTAATATCAAAGTAGTAGCTTGTAATAAGATTAACTTTTCAGGTTGTGAATATATAATTTTCAGTTACATACTGGGTTATTAAATGCAACCTAAATCTATTATGTTTCAGCAATTTGAGCAAATCAGAGCTAGTACAAGAACTGTAACTTCTGCATTTCTCTAGCAGGAGGAACTTTCACCATGTAATCTTAATGCAGAGTTGATGTAGTTCCCAAACAAGGTCCCTGTTACATGAAATCTTTGGGGATGTGACATGGATCCTGGCAAGATAACAGGAGCCAGAGTAGTGGCTGATACTGGCTGGTGCTTAATTTTGGTGGGAAGTTCTCTCTACAGGCACAACCCACCTACTAACCCACCTGCTACTACCTGAGCCAAAGCATTTGGCTCAGGCAAATCAAATTGTCACAGTTCTTCCAGCCTCAACATTGTTAAAGATCTTACCCATTCTACAATATGGAGCAGAGTTTTTATTATGCCTTTTAGCAGGAATATCTTTGGCCCTGTGGTATTTGGGTCCCTGGTGGGACTGGACTGTGAGTATATCCATTGATCCTGGGGAATCATGACTGTGATCAGGGAAAGGCTTTGAATTCTTTGGCAGTGCGAGGAAATTTGTTCTTTCCTTTGGTGTTGG